TACACAACAACGCTTTATAGAGATTTTAACTACCAATAGATATTCATTATTGATCAGTAATTCTTCTAAGTTATAGAATTGTTTCGAGGCACTCTACCATTCGCTGAAATGCTATCTAATTATTGCTTAAGGCATTCCTTGGATCCTTATTAAAGTATTTTATCGGTTGTTTTATATTGTCCTAAACCTTCAGCTGCAACAAAAATGTCTTTACAGTTGAAAAACCTTGAAGTGCAATTAAAACCATTTAAACCAAATCAGTCTTTAGCTTGATTCCATTTTGGTGATATTTATATTAATACAAGTAAAGAAAAAGTAGACGGAAAAAATGTTTATTGTATAATTTGTTTTGATAAAGAAAAAGAAGAAAATGGAGATTTTATCTTGATGAGCTGCCAACTTATATTAACATGTTATAGTGAAGGTGTTAGTACCTGTTATGTATTAAGTCATTTATCTGCGAAACACGAAATAACAGATAAAAAGCAAACACTGAAAACCAAAAAACATATTACCACATTTTTTAATCCGGCGTCATGCAGAACGTCAACATCATCAAAACAAGATCGAAAAGAACAGTTGCGAAAATCATTAACGTTAATGTGTTGTACATCACTATTGCCATTTTCAATTGTAGAAAACGAAGGATTTCAAGATTTTTTAGTGTCGTCAAGAGTTGCATCATCACGTGCCGATATATCAACACGCACAACACTTTGTCCGAACAATGTTAATAAAAGTTTCAATGTTTATTACGAGAAATTATTAAAACAACTTAAATTGGCTCCGACATATCCAAGTATGACGGCTAATATTTGGTCAAACAAACACAAACATTTGTCGTATATATGTTTTTCTGTGCACTTTGTGGATAATGAGTTTAATCTACATCGATACAATCTCGAAACACAACCATTCTCTCATCCACATACAGGAGACAGCGTCAAAGAAAAATTTATTGAAATGTGTTACAGGCCTAGGCCTTGCACATAACGCGTAATCGTGATCAATGCGTATACTATTGCATCATCTCGTCACATGGTTAGCCGCGTGACTTCTAGGTCCTACACGTGCTATTGAAGAATTATTTTCTTCCTTCGTCCAGTCCCTTGTTTTTCTACATTTATTCGTTTTCTCCCTCGTTCATATATATCTATGATTCTTTTCCTTTGTTGTCTGTTTTATTCACAGATATATATATAGTGTATGTTTCTCATTTTTAGAGTGACTTCTAGACGCCATCGCATATCGTACACATCGTCACTTGTTATTCGTTTTGTGTCTGTTTTCCATCTCTTTTTTTAAGCTTTTTTTAATAAAAGGGGATTCAACTTTTCAGCAACAAATCGGCTTTAAATACTATTCAAGTTAGTGAGACCATCGCTCACATTTGGCGACCCTGACAACTTCTTCATAATTCCTCATCATATGAAGAAGAAGAACGAACTCAAGCAACATTAGACTAGCGGTAGTTGTGATTGGAAATTTACTTGAGAGCCGACCGAAAGGTAGACTCATTGTATTGAGAGCCGGCCCTTAGGCAGACTCATTACTTCATTTACTGTTCATATTCCATCCGTGAGAGTCATCTTATAAGGAGACTCATTTATAATTACTCACACATTGATTCAAAAAAGAGGTGAGTGTATTTTCTTTCTTTGCGTTTCGTGAATAGAGTTATCGAGGACTGCTCTCGTTGTGGAATCCATTTTTTGGGTTTGAAATACTCTTTTCGGTGGATCCGTGTTCTTATTCCAACAGAGATCTTTCTCGAAGAAAGATCAGTTTGTAGATCTCACCGATGAGGAGATCATTATCGAAGTTTTTGAATCCAAAGATGTTTCTCAAAGAAAGATTGTATTGACATCTTACTGCTAGCGACATCACTGTTCACATTTTTTACATATTGATTTTCACAATATCGAGAACAACTCCCGCTCGATTTTCTTTTAAAAAATTGCACTATGTCAATAAATATCGGGAAATCCGAATTACTCGTTGGTTTTTCATAATTATTCATAACGGCTTCGGGGACGAGATCAAAAATAAAAGAAACCTGTCAAACATTAATCTCTTATCATCACATTACCGATACTCCTTCTTGACAGCACAAATCCAGTTTGCTTACTACAACACCAAACGACCCGTCTCCCACCGCAACAACTACTACATCATCTATTTTATCGTCTCAAATCATCAAAATGTCTGACTCATTAATTGCATTAGCTCGAAAGGCTAGATTCACTGACCTTCCCAGTTTCTCCGGACAACCATCAGAGGACGTCGAACAATTTCTGAGGAGTATCAAGAACCTAACAAAGAGTGACACGGAAATCACCGATGCTCAGCGGTTGGAAATTGTTCGAGGCAAATTAACCCAGACGGCCGGTAAATGGTTCGACGATAATGACTTTCAAACATGGTTAGAATTTGAAACAGCATTTCGAAATCGATATTCCTCATCCACGCAATCTCAACTTAGGTTCGATCAGTTATTACAACGAAAACAGGAGCCATCTGAATCCGTTGCCATGTATTTCGATGATATTGTATCATTATGTAAAGAATTAGACTCATCAATGTCAGAGAAAATCATAGTCCAACATCTGATGAATGGCATTCGTCCCGAATTTCGAATGCCACTCTTTCGTCATGAGCCTCCGATCC